TTTCTGACTATATTCAAACAACACAAACAGCTGCTTGAGGAACCCGAACAGATAAAACTGTAGAGTCTTCTGTGTCTTATTTTCTCTCAGGCCTTGGCCCTAAAAAGGTAGCAAAGAACCAGGATGAGAACTCCCTGACATCTCTTTAGTGTTATAGGCAGGGGAGGAGAAACGAGATTGTCGTTGAGCCTGGTCTAAACTTCACACATCTCTCCTTTACCATCCAGGCTGTCCCGGGATATCTCCCTGCTCCCTCAGGATTGGTATAGTTGTTCCTTTCTTTGTGTGCCCCAGTGTCTTCAGTGACACTGGTTGGTGATGCTATCTTTCCCCTTTGCTGGTGTCCTGCGAGTCTTGCAGGCAGAGGCATGGCTGTTCTAACCACCGGACCTTCTTCTGAGGAGCACACGGCGGCAAATACCGCGTGGAGGGGCAAACGAGTGAGTACAGTGCCTCTACTTTCTTCAGAACAAAACAATTCACAGCATTGAGATGCACATTCCCAGATTAGGGGCTTTGCGAGCACGTTTTGGTTTAGGGGAAAGAGTGCTGTTTGTCAGCAGGAAACAGGCCCGAGTTCCAGTTCTGACTGAACTGCTTACACGCTGTGTGACCTTGGATAGGTCATCAGACTGGATTTGACCGGTCGTGTCTATAAGAGGGTACAGCTATTTCACTTCACGCTCCCTTCCACTTCTAACCTTCCTTGAGACTTCAAAAACAGGCCAGTGTAGGCCTCCTTCCAGAGGCGCTATCATCAGCAGCTGCATCCCAACCTTCTTCAGAGGCCTCCTCCCTCCTCTCCCTCTCCGATGTCTTAGCAAATATTAATAGCCGAAGGCATCGCTGCCTGCGGTTTTTAATAGAATCTAATTTCAGTCCATTTAGAGTGGGACTTTTCATGCTGACTCGGTAATTTGAACTATGCCATGCCTGATGGACAGAGTGCATTCTCCCTGCCTCCACCACCTGCCCCGGGGTGCCTGGTGCTGGAAACAGAGGCTGGAACATCTTACTCAAAGCAGCTGCCCCATTAGTAGTTTGTCTGGACAATGGTCTTGTGATGGGGATGCTAAGGGCGCTGCAAGGAGAGTGGGCAGTTTCCCTTCTGTTCCCTAGCAGTGGCTTCTTCCTTGCAGCGTGGTGCCGGTGCCTGACTGCTTGTCCTCTCGGGTGAGTTGTCAGGAAGAAAACTGTGCTCTTTGGGTATGACCAGAGGACATCAAGTTCTGAAAATCATCCAGTGTTTCCCATCAGTTGCTATGGAGAGCCCCTGAAGACTCCATATGGGGCTTGCTCTGTTTCCTACCACCCCTCCCAAGAACTTAGCCCATTTGGCCAGACTTACACAAGAGTGCTGAGTGGACGAATAGGGAGGGCAGGCATAGAGGTGCTGTCACACTACGAATGAGGAAAACTGAGGCTGAAGAGGGTGGGGAAGGAAATGACTGTTTATTCTTTGCTCACTCTGTTGCGGACACTAGTGGGAGCCAGTTTCTTAATCCCCACAACACCCTTCTATGTGGGTTAAAAAAATGAGAGCCAGAAAGGTAAGTAACTACCTGTGATAATGCTTCACCTGTCTCCTGTAAGATGTCACGTGGTTTGAAGTGATGGAATGAGTCTGCTGGCCTTTATCAGTGCTGGCTGGCCCTTTACTGTGCCCAGTCATCAGAACTTTGTACACACTCTAATGCCCTGGGCATTAATTCTGTAATTCTGATCCATTGGGTCTGAAGCTGAACCCGAGAGCTTGTACTTTTAAAAAGCTTAAGTGATTACGATGTTTGGGAAAGCAAGGGTTGGAGTGCACGGCTTCCTTGCCAGCCCAAGTCTTCCGGGAAGTTCTCATTTCTCAGAAGCACAGATCTAGTCTAGCCCCGCATTATACCACAAGCAGTATCGGTCGCCGAATCCACCAGTCATCCACCGCAGGTCCTGTGCTCCGCAGCTTCAGAACACCTACAATGTCAGACATTCTGATTCCAAAGAAACCCGAGCACCTGCTTTGGGGAACACACACCCAGGCAAGGAGAGAGGTGAATGTAAAGAGGACATTCTGACCAGTGGTGGCAGACACCGCACAGTGGTAGGGAGGCTTTGCTTTATGAATGTACACTAGGGTTTGGTGAGTGACCCTGGGTTAGCGCTTCAAAGAGTTACAAGGCAAAGATAGGGTGGAGTGTGAGGAATGTCCCACAAGGCACAGGGGCCAGTATGGAAAGCTGCACAGACCCAGCTCAGTGGCTCAGGACGACATGACTATGGAACGGAGGATACTTTCAGAGGGCCAGGGTGAGCCTGCTGAAGTTAGAGTGGGACAGTACAGGAAAGACCTGGCGCGTTATGTCAAGGAGCGATGAGAAGTGACCACGCATCTTGAAGCTGTGGAAGCACCTGCTTGGGTTGCCTCTTAGACACGAGGGTCTAAGACACGGGCGGGAAAAGCTAGCAACATAGGACAAATTAATTGCAGAATTAGGAATTTATGTATGTCAAAAAGCACCATAAATGAAAGCAAAGCTCCCGGAAAGCATGTCCGTAGCATTTCTTGATGAAAATAATATTCTTAAAGTTACAAACAGATAATAAAGATAAACATAGATAGTGATGATCATACTAATATCAAATAAATAGAAAGTTCACAAGGAAAGAAATACAAATGGTCAATAAGCATATGAAAAAGTTATTTACCAATAATCAAAGAAAGTTAAAGCAATAAGCTAGAATACCATTGACAAACCGTTATTTGCCTATCAAATTGTCAAAGATGTGAAAAGAGATCATACCGAGTGCTTGCTAGGGCCCAGAGAGCAGGGCAGTCTGGGGGCTGCAACAGGACAGTGTTTTTCATACAAACTTTCTACAGGGCATTGGCAACATGAATCAAAGTCCTTGAAAATAGCCAAGCAATTTCCTTCTTGGATTACATCCCAAGGAACTCGTCATAAACATGTGCAAAATTTAGCGACAAGAATGTCAGTTACAACATTATTTACAATAAAGATTGGGACCATTCATCTATGTTTGTAGATAGGTTACAAAATAAAGATTCACCCATATCATGAAGACGCTAGCGGAAAAAAATCCAAAAGATATACTGAAAGCCCATATCGTGTACAGAAATAAAGCAACAGAGGAAAAACTATCTGCTATGCTACCACTTGTGAGTAATAAAAGAACATATATACATATCTGAAAAAATGCGTATCTCTAGTGGGGTACAGTAGAGACCAGAGGGAAACTAGCTGTGCACAGACAAGGGAAAAACTTACCTCCAACTACGGAGTTCATGTACTATTTGAATTTTGTATACCTGTGCATATATTGCATATTCTAAAATATAAATACACATTGGAAAAGTAAGTTATTAAAGACTATGTACAGCATGGTCCAGCTTTCTTCATTAAAAAACAAACAAAAATCAGTGGGAGTATGTGCACACATTTATGCCAAGAAAAATGAAAAAATGTGCCGAAGGGATAAAAATGTGGTTGTGTGAGGGGCTGAGCTTCATCCTTAACTTTCCTTAAATGTTTTACAATAAATATGGAACGGTTTCGTAGCGCAAGTAAAAGTCTGAGTTTTATGCCGCGGGGTCTCTCACAAAAGTCCACACAGTGCAGTCCGATCCAGGACAAGTGCTGTCTACACAAGTTCAGTCAAGACACTCATCAAGTCTGTAATTAGAGTACAGTCGTCGATTTTAGGAGCTGGGGGAAAAGAAAGATTACGCAGCCCTCTGAAGACTTTGCCAACAAATGAGCAGAAACGTCAACCCTGCCACCCCTTAGTGTTAACTAATACCCCAGGCAGTCCCTTGTCGGGAGCATCACTTAGGTCTGGGTCACAGTGAATAGGGTTTCTGTGAGCCTATTTCTCTGAGTCACTGGATAAGACAATGGCTAGACACTTGTCCTCACCTCGTTGTGCTTTCTAAGCATTCTCTTTGGGAATGACAATGATTTTATCCCTATGAGTATAGCCCTGACCCAAAACATCCAAGCAAGCCTTCTCTCTTGCCCCTTTGTTGGGAATAAGTATGTAAATCATTCCTAATGCATTGAAGAACAAGGGGGCGAGCCTGCCAGTTTGAACTCATTCTGTAGATCACCTTTGACCTCATTCTTGTCAACTTATAAACCCTGAGCCTAGGGATGGCATTGGGGGTTGAGGGAATGGGCTAGGCATATGCCAGGGCTGAGAGAAGGTTGGGGTTGGGGTCATGTGAAGTCATTTTGGAGGAAGAATACAAGATATGGTCGAAATTGGGGAGAGAAGAAGGGAATGCGGTACCTGGAATGGCTTTTTCCTTTTCTTCTTCTCCAGAGTCACTGTGGACTTCTGGATATTTCTAGCACCTTCCTGCAGCCCCCATTGAAAGTATTTTGGGAGCTGTGTGGATAAAACCTGTGCTGCTGGCTGCTGGGCCCTGCAGCAGTGATTGGGTCTTGCAATGGCAAAGCCACTGAACTAAACAAGTGACCTATAATTCACTTCATGTTTCTCTTCTGCCTTCGCTATAATTGTGATCCTTTCTCGCTGCTGGCCACACAGTGAAGAATGCCAGGTGGGTTGTTCCGATTCATGCTGCCCCATCAGCAAATAGAGCAACTGACACATAGATTTACTATTGGGTCTTGATTGTCTTCTCCCGGATGGTCACTGTTCAAGCCACTGGGGCTTCTGGTTTCTGGTCTCTTTTTGTCTTGCATTCATAAACATAAGGTGGACAGGGCACTGTGTTGAACATTCCTAACTTAATGCAAATATTTTTCTACTCAAACAGTTGTTACTGTCCAACAGAGAGGCAGCTAAGCACAGGATAGTTAATTGCAAGAGCTCTGGAGTCAGATAGATCTGATTCAATCAATCCTAGTCATGTCCTGCAAGGCCATGCAACCTCAAGAAAGTTAATTTTTTTCTGGCTGTTTTCTTCTTCATCACCTGGGAATAATATCTCACAAAGTGATTATATGAAAGAAATGAGATTGTCCATGTAGAGATCCGAAGATAGAGCATTTAATAAATCCTAACTATTAACATTATTGCATCTGTATATATTTTAATTTTATACAACAGTGTCTCACTAAGTCACACGAAAAATACATGAAAGTGCCTTGGACATGTGTAAGCGTCCTACACATTAGTGGCGTCATTGGTGACAACCTCCTATGGATTTCTCAGCTGTCCTACCTCCGGGAAGACTGGGACTGCATCCTATATTGCACTGCGGTGGGGGAACGGCAAGCCCCCGAGAGATGTTTCAACATGGCAAAGCATAAAACGCGTACGTGTCAGGAGATCAGGCTGGGATCCGATCAGTTTAAGGCAGGAGAGTCAGTCTGCAGTCGAAATTATCAATTCAAAAAAACTTTGTTATGTGCTAGATATTGAGTTCAGGCAATTCTGTCAAAGAAAAGGGGCGGGGGTTTGGACAAATCCTCACAAAGCCAAATCCTGGAGCACTCTCCACAATCCCAGCCAACTCCTCAAAGCATAAAAGCCTGTGGCCACCATGAAGGTTAGTCCTGGCTAACGGTCACTGGCTTTAGGGGAAGTTGTAGGCCACTCTGCCTGAGGGACAGGAAGGGAAAGGAAATGAGGGAGTGGGCTGCTCTCAACAGAAACGACAGGAACTGAAGCCTGGGAGCTAGTTTTTATTTACATTATTAGCCCGGTCCCTCAGCCCACCCAAGGCTCTTTCTTCCCCTTGTCGTCATCTTTCCCTCTTCTGTCACCTACACAGTCTGCTCTGCTCCCAACATTTGGCCCATGGCACCCTGCCCTTCTGCTGTCACAGCTGCCTGCTGGCTGGGAGGCGGGGGAATGGTATGTGTGGTCACCAGAGGGCACCGAGAGTGGGCCTTGATGGCATGTGAAGCCTGCCTGGCAAAGAACTGACCTCCCAGAGTGAGAGAAGAAAGTACAAGCCTAGACAAGTAAGGGTGTGTGGCAGGAGCCCAGGTGACTAGCGGGTGGGGGTGGGGGGAGTCGGAATTCACAATCTCAGCCTTGGTTCAAAAAACGCTTCTCCCATTCATCAGCCCCAGGTTTCTTTCAGTTTCCTCAAGAGGCTCTGGTTCATCAAGAAGGTGTAGAAGGTTCCAGACCGTTGGCTCTGCACACCTGCCAGGCTCTGAAACATTGGCCCAAGTCGAAGCCACAGTGCTGTCCCCAGTCCATGAGACTCTTCCCCAGCTGTCCCATTTGCTGGTCTGCTAGAAAAGAGAAGTCCACATCTGGGCCACCCCGCCAAGGTCCAAGAGTGCCTCTCACCTTCTCGCACTGAGAGTAGACAGAGTCGGGGAGCAACAGGAAGGACAAGGGGTACAGAAAGAACCGGGGAGAGAGGGAGAGAACCCACACACGGGGACTCTCCGCCAAGGATGCCTGGAAGTCCCTAGTCAGGCATGGGTGTGGCTTGATAGAGGCCTCTTGGCTACATGGCTTCTTTCTCCCTGTGGGAACATCTGCTGAGCTTCATCTCAGTCAGCTGGATGTACCGAACCACATTGGTGTCTGCGGGGAGAGAAAACACAGCTCAGGGACTGCCCAGCATGGGTTATGGTGGTGTCTACAAGGACGGGGGCATGAGCTAGGTTTAAAGTTTGGCGACAGACTAGACTCTTTCAGTCAGAGTCCCGTCTGCTTAGGCGGTAACCAGATGCCGGCCTCTTCCTCATGGCTTCTCCCTAGCAAATGGAACCAGTCTACTGTGGTTACCTGACCCGGTGGACAGTAAGTGATCTCAGTGGTTCCGGTGTCAGCACAGTTAGTTGAGAGTCTGCTTGGCATTAACCCTCAGGTAAGCCACCAGCGTCTCTACCCTTGTGTCTCAGTCAGCTGAGAGTCTGCTTGGCATTAACCCTCAGGTAAGCCAACATCCCTACCCTTGTGTCTCTTTTGTAAGAAACAATGTTCATTTTTCATATCTACTTTGTGATTTTTCTTTTGAGTTAAAAAAAAATGTTGCTTACAGCTGAATGTTCTGGCAAGTACCTGTAAATCCCAGCACTGGGAGGCACAAACCTGAGGTTCAGTTCAAGGTCATTCTTGACTGCTTAACCAGTTTGAGGCTAGGCTAGCTTGGGCTACACGAAATCTTATCTCAAAAAGCTAAGCAAACAAAACATTTGTAATGGAGGGGGTTGCCCAGGCTTGCCTTGAACTCCTGGAATCAAGCGATATTCTTACCTCAGATTCACAGGCACTTGGGACTACAGGTGTACATACACCATTGTGTCTGCTTGGGCTAGGCCTTTTCAGCCTTCGTTATCTCATCTAGTTTTTATTGAAGCCTGCAAGGAATATATCCTGACCTTCACTATGGCAAAAGGAAGACTGGGACCTGGAAACATTAAGATGCCCAGGGAGTCAGCCATATGGCATGCCCTTTAAATCCCATCACTTGGGAGGCAGAGACAGGCAGATTTCTGTGAGTTAAAAGCCAGTGTGGTCTACAGAGTGAGTTTCAGGACAGCCAGGGTTATGTAGAGAGACCCTATAGCAAAATAAGTAAATAAATACAAATTAAAAATGCTCAAGGAGACATGCAGTGATTGGCATGTCTGCCCAAGCCTGATTCTCCTGGGACTCATAATACCCTTCTCATAGAGTCGCTGTGAGAGCCAGAAGAGGGAAGTCAAAAAGTGCTTAACATAGCAATCAATGAACATTAGTTGGATGTGTTGTTTTACTTAACTTAGGAGCTTCAGAGGACGTTGCTCCATGCTTATTTTTGTCTTTGTGAGTACAGCCAGACAACCACTTCTCAACTGAAGCATTTTCTCCTAATTCCAGTCCTTCCCTTGAGTGGCTCATTGTGTGCTGGAATCATTTAGTTCAAGCACTTACCACAGCATGTGGACCACACGGCTGCCTAGAATTCCTACTCGTGGAAATAAAACTGATATAGCGTCATGCTTAAAATCCCCAGGCATAGCATCCTTCCTGTACTGGCACACATTGCAGGTGCTCAACACAACTCTGTTGGAGGAGCTTACTTTTAGTTCTAAATTTGCTTACCATATAGTCGGCAGACCACACTTTATATATAGAAAACAAGCAAGCCATACATAACAATGGAGAGGTAGTCTTTAAAAAGACAAAGAATATGCTCGATGTTTGAAAATTGAGAAGTTCTTAGAGATATGGATTGGAGGAACTCTTGCTGTCTTAAGGAGTCCACCACTCGAGCATTAACACTGAGCCAAAGTCATTGCCTACAGTTGACCTTGTCAGAGAGGCCCTCTGACCACCTGTTCTAAAACAGTGTTCCTTTCACTCTGCTTAATCTCCTTCATAGCATTTACCGCTGCTAAATAAGGCACCATCTACCTGTCTGTGCTTCCTCCATTGTAACAAACTTTCCTTGCTGGGTGTGGTGGCACACGCTTGTAATCCCAGCACTTGGGAAGCTGAGGCCAGAGGATGGGGAGTTTGAGGACAGTCTGAGAGACACAGCGAGACCTTGTTTCAAAACAAACAAACAACAACACCCAAACTAAAACTCAAACCCAAATAACACAAGTAACTTTCTCTTGTGTTATCCAGACTGGTCTTGAAATCCTAGGCTGAAGCAATCCTCTTGCCACAGCTTCCTGAATGCTAGGACTATAAGAGCAGGACCTGGGCACAGCAGCACTAGAAGAACAGGACCCTGGGCACAGCAGCACTAGAAGAACAGGACCCTGGGCACAGCAGCACTAGAAGAACAGGACCCTGGGCACAGCAGCAGCCTTTTCTTGCTCACTGCTCATGTACTCATCACCTAGACTAGTTCCTGGTTCACTGCACTACCTTAACAAACACTGAGGGAATGAATGGATGGTGGGAGAGCTAATACACACTATGTAAAGGAATGCGATCTGATTGGAAAAGTCGGTGTATGCTTCCTGAAAGATGCTACCCCTAGACTGATCGAATGAGAGCTCACCAAGGCCAGCTGGACTGGGACTGAACGAGCATGTGATTAAACCGGATTCTCTGAATGTGGCTGACATGGGGGCTGACTGAGAAGCCATTGACAATGGCACTGGGTCTTGTTTCGTCTGCATGTACTGGCTTTTTGGGATCCTGGTCTGTTTGGACGCTCACCTTCCTGGACCTGGAGGGAGGGGGGAGGAACTTGGACTTCCCACAGGGCAGGAAACCCTAACTGCTCTTGGGACTGGAGAGGGAGGAGAAGAGGGAGTGGGGGGAGCGGGAGGGTATTGGGAAGAGGGGAGGAAGTGGAAATTCTTATAAATAAATAAATAAGTTAAAAAAAGAAAGAAAGATGCTACCCCTAGCATCAAAAGTTTCTGTCCACATCTGTCTTGTCAGCCAACCGTGGACTTATGGGAAAGAGCAGGCACCTTCTCATCTGCATCCCTGGTGCCTAGTACAAATTGTAACGCACAGCAAAAACTATGTATCTGTTTTTTGAATCAGTGATGAGACCCAGTTTTGAATTGGGAAAGGCAAAACTCAACTCTGTAGTGTATCTGAAGAGAAGAGGGGCCCAGGGTCCCTGGGCACCAGACCCCAGGTGAAGACACGGACCATGTGCTCTCCTCAGTCCAAGTCTAACCTATGCCTGAGGCCTTGTTTTCTATTCCTGGGCCCACCTAGTTCTGTCAGTCACAGACGCTGTCTCCTACAGTGAGCAGGCCCCAGGGAGTGTCAGGAATGCCTGTGCTGAGAAAGAAGGGATAGCTGTCTCACCTGTGGGTTGTCGGGTCCTTGCTTCTTTTAGGTAGTAGAGAGCTTTGTCATAGTCCCCTAGATGATAGAAGGCCACACCAGACCTGTAAAGGGCCTTGAAGTTCTCTCCTTCTTTTTTTAGGACCTTAAGGCAATACTCCTTGACTCTCTCATAATTCACCAGCTCGGCCTGGAGCAGGCAGGCTGTGGAAGGAGGAAAAATAAAGAGAAAACGCCATTACCAAAACTGGCAGGGTCTGAATAGCTCCTGCTCGCTTAGCTTATGGCCCACAACCCACATGGGTCCCAGGAGAGCTGTGAGTGCAGCCCAACCCATCTGTAGATGACAACATTGTCATGTTACAGCACTAGACACCCCTGCCTCAGTCTTTCTGCGTTCCAAAAATCAATGGCTAGAGGACCAGTTTCATCACCAACAAGTCACATAACTAAACATGTTACATAGCCTTATATCATGGACCAAGTTATGTCTCCCCTAAAAGATACATGGGTACTATCAACTGTTGGTACCTGAGAACACAACCTTTACGAGAGACAAGAGTTCCCTGGAGGCAATCGTGTTAAAAGCAGGTCATTAGAGTGGGCCCAAATGATGTGACCGGTTTCCTTATAAAGGGGACATAGGTACACACAGAAAAACAATAGGAAGGGACACAGAGAAGATGGCCTTTCTGTGACAGTTGCAAGGAATGCCTGAGGCTCCCATGTGTAGGGAAGAGAATCTGGCTGTGCCAGGAAGCGAACTCCAGAAAATGGGACAGTCTATCCCTCACAGCCTTGCAAAGGAACCAACCCACCGCCACCTTGATTTTTGGAGTCCGAGCCTCGAGAACTATCCGACAACACATCTATGTGACCTGAAGTCATCTAGTTTATGGGACTTTGTTGCAGAAGGCCAAGAAAGAAGCTATCAAAGGCAATAGTAATAAGGCCAGCTAATGCTTGTTGACTGACTACTTGCCTTGCACCGGAGATATGCCTTACCATTTTATATGCATTTATCTGATGTAATCCTCAGAATATTATGGTGTCAGTACTGTTATTACTCCATTTTACAGATAAGGAAATTGAGCCTTCAAGAATGTAAGAATGTTCTTGAGAGTACACAATGTGCAAGAAGCAAGGATAGGTTTAAACTAATGGCTGGCTCCCTGGCCTAGATTCCTCCTTATCAGATTGATGGGTGTGGGGTACAAAATAAGGACCATAAAGTACTTAATACACGACTTGGCATGCACGGAGCATTCAAATCATGTTTTTAAACTTCACTGTAGCCCTGTTCAGCTTGTGCTCAACCTCTGTTAAGACAGGTCTTTGTCTTTCTCCTTCCTTCTTCTTTCTTTCTGAGAGGGGGAGTTTTCTGATGGGCTAGTGGCCAGCTCGTACAGGACCCATTCTGGACATGGAGCCCTAGGTGTCGAAGCTACGGGTGGCAGGTGCTCATTCTGTAACTAGCCATATTTGAATAAAGCATCTTCTCTTGAAGGATTTTCTCATTAGTCTGAGCCACAGGGCTGGGACAGAGTGGGAATGTATCTGGAAGAGGCTGAAGCGTCTCGGGGCCCTGGGTACGTCACTGGGAACCTGCTGAGATGCTCCGCCATAGTTCGTAAGCGCTGACTAAGCCTCATTGTACACACTAAGGCACATTGTACACACTGGAAGGACTGCAGATAGGGCAGGGTGGGACGGTGTCTGTCTGTTTCCACAAATCAAATCAAAATAGAGACACTGGACCACCCATGGCCAGCCTGAGCAGGGAGTTGAAAGGCTGCTGGCCAATGTGCAGTTGTCTCTTGGTGTTCTGATTACAGAGAGTCTTCACAACACAGGCTGTGTGTGTGTGTGTGTGTGTGTGTGTGTGTGTGTGTGTGTGTGATACAGGGTCTCTCACTGTCCTGGGTGGCCTGGAACTCTCTATGAAGACTAGGCCGGTCTCAAATGCTCAGAGGTCTACCTGCCTCTGCCCCCGCCTCCAGAGTGTATTAGAGACCTGTGCCGTCATGCCCAGCTTTAATCTTAATAGTTCTAATTTCACTTCTTTCCACCCCTTCAGTAATCTTCCGTCACACATTCTGAACCTAAACCCATCCCTTCGCAGACTCTCAGGTGAACCACACGAACTCTCCACCCGAGGGGTATGAGAAGCAGGAAGTGAACGAGATCTAGAAACCAACCCACCCGGTTTTCCTAGCTGCTAGGCAGAAAGCCAAAAGCCAGACATCAGGATCAGGGGCGGCCGACTGCTTGCCCTTGGGGTGGCGGTTCACCCAGAATCACAAGCTGTTGGTACACCAGAGGCTCCTTTGCCGTGAGCTGATGCCATAACCTCCCCTCCACATTCAGCAGTAGGGTCCTGGACACTGCTGTCCCTTCCCCTGTCCCAGGCTATGCTGATGGGGGAGGGGCTTTGAAAGGGGGTGTGCCTGGATGTGATTCCACTGACAGCTACCTGTGTGGCTCCTGTCTGCTCCTACATCAGGCTTTTACATCTGCTCTTAGAGCAGAAGGATTTCCCCTGTGTAGCTTCCCGGTGCCCGCCGTGTCTGAAGCCTTCGCTGGACATCTCTAAACACACGCTTCTGTTTACTGACTTAGAAAGTCTAAAAGTCTAGGAAGGACCTCTGCTTCTTTAAAAATGGCTTTCCTTCCTTCCTTCCTTCCTTCCTTCCTTCCTTCCTTCTTTCCTTCCTTCCTTCCTTTCTTCTTCCCTCCCTCCCTCCCTCCCTCCCATCCTCCCTCCCTCCCTCCGTCCTTCCCTCCCTCCCTTTTTATGTCTAAAGCAGCAGAGAAAGAAAGTAGGAGGCTGGAAATAGAAAAACCTCACCCTCTCCCAGCCCCTACAAGGGAAAAGCAAATCCAGTGGGCTATTTGGGCCCTCAGCTCATAAAAACGTTTCTGATTCCTTCGTAGGGAATCCCATGGGAACTGGGGCACCTGGCTGTGGTCCGAGGTTCAGACCTGATAGGAGGCAGGGCCAGGCTGGTTACAGGGCGTGGAACCCCTGCTCATACTGGAGGCTGAGCCCAGGGAGAAGAGAAGTGGGCAGCTTTCCAGACAAAGGCCGAAGCAGAAGGTGGAACTTGAGACGTGGAATCCAGATAAGGAGCCAGGGTGCCAGGCTAGGGTTTGAAAGAGTATGCAGGTGGAGAGGGTGAGAGGCTGGAGATGACCCGAGCCCTATCTGCTGGTGATATAGAGGCCCTCCTCAGCTTGGGCTGGGGAATTCTCCAGGCACATGTAATAAATCTATAGTAAGACATTTGTAGGCAGCTTTGAGGAACTTAAGAATATGGTGACAGGATGCCTCCAACTATTCACCCTTCTTCTGCAGGCTGGGAGTTTGCAAGGGGACCCTCTTCACAGAAAGGGTGTGTGTGTGTTGTGTGTGTGTGCAGAGGGCAGAAGAGAATGTAGGGTGTGGTCTAGCACGGTCTATCTTATTCCCTTGCTAATAGGGTTTCTCACTGAACCTGGAGCTGGGCTGCTGACCAGCGATCTTGTCTCTGTCATATTCTCACATGTGCTATGGTTACCGACATGCAAATGGGCACATCTGGCTTTATATGCATTCCGAGATCTGAACTCAGGTCCTCACGCTTGTACAGCAAATGCTCTTCCACACCGAGCCATCTCCGCCTCCTTACAGTAATGCATTCCTTGGCTCCCTGTCAGAGCTGGGCTCACCACCTCACACATACTGCGCGTGCCTTTAAATCTCCACCGCTCTATGGAACTGGTTCTATTTTTATAGTCCTTCATAAATGATGAAATCGAGTTCAGGAAAATTAAGCAACTCGCTGAAGGTCACTCAACTAGAAGGGGGTAGAAATGGGATACCAGACCATTCTTTCAGACTCCCCAGAGTGTGCCAGAATCGTGAAGGATCTGCATTTGAAGCCCTCAGAAACCTATACCACTCCTGGGAAGAAAGAACACAAGGCTACTGTGTCCAAGGGCAACAGGTGAATGTCTGCCTTATGGAACATGGACAGCGGTTGTGGTGGCGGAGGAGGCGGGATGGGCCAATGCACTCTCTACTCCAGGTGTTTTTAACCTATGGCTCGCAGGCCGTACATGTCCCTGGCTAGCTATGGCTGTGCCCCAACACATTTTAAGATGACAGTGTCATATTACAGTGTCAAATTTTGGGTACCCCTGGTCCATTCCTGGGGGTTGGGAGACTGCCAAGGAAGCAGGGGTTAAATTATGAGGGAAAGAAGAGAATGGAAACACTTGCGGATGATGGGAGGGGCCTCCACCCAATTTACCACATCAGGGGAGGCCTTCCTGGAAGGGTGACCTTTAAGTCAAAAAGTAAAATATTGGATGTTTCTAATCTCAGCATTATGCGCATTGGGAGCCAGGTAACTTTTTATTATAGATAAAGTCTTGGGCATTGTGAGATGGTTAGCATCCCTTGGTTTCTCTTCACCCAGGCACTAACTGTGACACCTGATTAATGTCCCCTGGAGAGGTAAAATCACTCTTGTTTGAGGTTGACTGGTCTAAGAGAAACTAAGGAAATATTTTCTAGGACTCCAAAAAGCCATATCAGGCTGGAGCTGAGAACCCAGGGAAGCCTGAGAGAAAAACAAAGCTGGAAAACAAAAACCCAGGACATCCAGACCTCCTTTTCCATTTTGGGGTAAGTGTGGATTTTCAGGATATTCATTTAAAATGGAAGCAGACAGACAGAAGGCCTGGGTCAATGTATTACATACACTGGGTGGAACCAGCTAGCACTGGGAAACCCCTGTTTTGCTCCCCTGCTGTTCCTCTTCAAGTCTGAGTCACAAGGAAATTTCTGATGAGGAAAAAGCACCCTTCCACTCTGCTGCAACCTGCTCTCCGTTTGGATGAAAGCTGAATTATGCTGTGTGGCACAGACTAGTATTTCCTAGGCTGACCCACCTTTGCCTCTAACCAAAAGAACAAAAATCATTTTCTCTTTATAGGCCTTGACTTTCTATCTGCTAAACAAGGGGCCTACACTCTGCTAAATAGTCTTCTCTCCCATCCCTTTAGATCTAGCAGCCCGTGGAAAAAAGGATTGGTCTCTTCAAGGAGGAACACAATTGTTTTCCTGGATCCTTGTCAAAAGGAATTCCATCTTTCCTGTTGAGCGAGGTATCTTCTTTAGGGGATTGTGGTCAATGTAGTGATGTTGTCTAACAAATAAA